CCAATTCTCTGGAGTGTCATTATCTCATCACATACTTCGTTGATGTAATCTTCTCTCGCCTTGTCTGTTTCTCTTCTCAGTTCGTTGTTCAGTCTTCGATATTTCTGTCTTCCCTCTTCACTGTTGATATTCTTTCATCTCCTCCTCTCATCCGTCTCATCGAACATAGCCTGTGTAATCCATGCCTTCCTTGGTATCCTCTTCATCCTACCAACCTTTTCTTCTAATGCCACTGTTAGTTACTTCTTGATATTTGTCCATTCCTCTTCAACGCTTTCGCCTTCACTTTCACTTAATTTTCCTTCCAATTCTGCTCTTACTTCGTCTCGCGCGCTCTTCAGGTTCTCCAGGTCCCATCTCTTCTTCCTCACCCCCCTACTCCTGATTTGCAAACGTCAGCACCAGAATGAAGAAAATCAGGAGTTCCTCCGTACTAATGTATTTTTATATTCTGTTTGTTATTACCTTCTATATTTATTATTGTGTTCGTGTGCGCATCTCTTGTGCTGTATCTGTAATTGGCCTTCTGGCTGTTGATACAGCACACTAATAATCAAGAATTCAATTGAATTATTTCCTCTTTCTTCGCAGGTTTTCCTGGCACTGTTCCTCTTGAACCAACAGTGAACCTCACCACTCAGGTTTCATGTTCCTGAGTGTTGAACTTTTCATACAATGAGCGATGTTCCTGTTATGGCTGGTTTTATAGAGAAACTACTGAATGCTTTTCTGACATTGTTTCCAGATTTCTTTTTAGTCCTTTAGTTACAATTCCTGTGGCTCCAGTGACTAAAGGTATTACAAAATATTTCATGTTCCGCATTTCAAGAATTTATTTACTTTATCGTTTGTATTTAATTTCTTTTCTGAGTCCTTCCACATAACATCCCTGTCCGATGGTATAGTTACACCTATCAGTAAGCAAATTTTATATTTTTTAATTTAATTACTTTGTCAGGCCTATGTACCAGAGCCTCTCTATCTATTTGTATTTGTTGATTTCACAGTAATGTTGCAATTTTCACGTACTGAGTTCAGAGCGGGTGAGCACCGCTTAATTTATTAAATCGTGCAGTATTATGCTATCAACTGGATTTCTTCCAACCAACATGATGGTTGCATTCAAGAAACGTTTTATGGAAGGTGAAATCGTGTTAATCGGACATAAATTTCACAATGCAATTAAAGGCAGTGCAGGACCATCCATGTCCGGCTTTGAAAGCTACATTAAAAATTCAAATTGCAACAAATACCCACGCTCCTTTACATAAATTATCCCCACGCGCCCCCATCATCGTCTCCCCTCTTCGTGGCTGCAGAAGCCGTTAATCATTTCTTGGTGTTTTGTGTAAGAATGGGCACAAGTGCTACATTTTATAGCAACACAGATTTTTGTGTTTTCTGCCTTGTTATTAATTTTGACATCATTTTTGCCTTTGGAAGTTGATATATGAATCGGGCGTAATTGAAATCTTATATCACTGAACTCCTTTAAATTCGATATAAACAAATCATAGCCATCTTAATGCAAGAATAGGCATAAGTGTGAATGATTTAATGACATTTGACATATTGCTGTATGACAGATATGCACCAATATTAACAGATTTCACGCATAACTTTCTACCCATCACACGACTGCCAGAAAATTAAACACACAGCTTCTGCCCGATGTCTGTTTCATAATACGTCAGGCAGAATTTTGGTTGACTTATTGATTCCAACTACAGAGAAAACAGTGGGCTAGTCCATATCAATCAGTTCTCGTAGGCAAGATAAACTAGGAAGTGGGTTAAATTGGAAAGTTTCAAGAAAGGCCCGTTCCGCTATTAGGGACGTTTCGGAAGTGCGCCTTGGTCTTATCATTGAACCCTGTGGCAACGGTAGAGCTATTACAACTAACGGCAGATGCCCGTGTATTCTGAGCTCGAAAAAGCGAGAAATTGTCGTGGCGAAAACGAAAATGTTCCGTTCAGCACGTGAACGCGTTTTTGGAATTGGCAGGATGAAAAATCAACCGGACTTAAGGAAGTTTCGTTTGCCATTTCACGACTTGCTGCCAGAGTTAAAGAGAAAATGAACGGCACCGCGGCGCAGTGGTAAAGAACGAAGGCGGAGTCATGGAGGGGATAGCGGCGATTAGGAAGTTCGAGTTTTCTCAATCTCGTGACGATTGTCAAGAACAGAACGTGCTCTCGACTCTGTTGGTCCAAAGAAACGAAACGAAGCTTCCGTGATTTCCGTGTGTTGTGAAAGGGGGTGGTTTATCTGAAGTATCTGATAAGGTTTCGTCTGAATTCTTTTGTGCTAATTTTATAGTGAAAATGCCAATCTTTAGTTATTTCACTGGAAATTTTCCTAAAGAATCTTAATAAGATGTGAGTGGGCTCATCAAAATTCTCGAATTCTCATAATTCTTGAACGGTACTCAACCTGTCATTCCCACTCATCGCAGTAACCCAAATCTTATTAAATTTTACTGAGACTTCTTATCAAAACGCTCTTCTTCAGACCATGTATAGGTGCAATTTCATCACATAATCCAGTCCATAAATTTGAATTAGCCCCATTATATCACACCCAACAAAACATATCATTTAACCTAAAGACAGGAGCACAGCTGGCTCCCGAAACGAAGTGGTTTAGTTTTAGAATACCGAACGATGGTACAAGTCCAGACAAACAACAATGGTAATATAAGACACCATCATTAGTGCCCTTTACAGTTATATATATATATATATATATATATATATATATAAACGTATTATTGGCGACTACCTTCAATGCATACATTTAATGACTACTTACAATATCTTGGACAATATGGTCATAATAGCTAATGGATCCAGCCCAATATCCAAGATGGGAGTCGAAGCCACGGTATATTGGTGTGAATTCCTTCCTGTAGAATCCCAGATGCCACTTGCCCACAGCCCTAGTGACGTAGCCCAAGTTCTTCAGGTACTGGGGCAGGATCTTCATGGGCGGCAGTCCCCGTGGCTCTGCCGCCAGCATTGGGTAGCCTTGCATGCCTGGGGGATGCGACAAGCAAGTCACGACATTGCAGATCACAGCGAGAAGGATCACTTACTAAGCCCATCCAAAAAGTGGAAAAATCGTTCTTCCGCATGTCCTAATCCTCAGCGTTCTTGAATGCGGGAATTACAGTAGTCTTCAAACTCAGTATCAACATGTGTTTCGAGAATTCATTCTTCACCTGATTTCATAATGGACATGTGTTTAAATTCTGGAGCATTCACATATTGATAATTGACTGCATATAGCCCCTACCTACGTCATTAATTTATTATTAACTCTGTTTTGTGCAGTAATTATACGACTGCCAGCATTTACTACAGCATTCACTGCAAATGAGACCACTAAACAATTATGAGCAAATTACATTCAGAGCCTTGTGCCGTCGGAACTGGTAATAAAAACACAAAGTTTAAAGTATAAAGAAGTATAATTTTACTTGTTTTGTACTGACGTAAAACTTGATATCTCGCCTCCCAAAAAATAAACAGAACAAGGCTGTTTGAAACCAGGACGCTGAAGCGAATATTTGGAATAACAAGTCTGCGGAGAACACTGCACGACGACTTTATACTACACAATTATCACCAAACAGTATTGTGGTTATGAAATCAAGAGGATTGTAGAGGTGAAACTTATGTGAGAGATGATAACTATATGCACAAATTTAGTCATAAATCCTCAAGGGACGAAAATATTTGGCAGGTGTTAAAGAAATAAGGTTTTTGAGAGTGTATATTGGATTTAAAAAACTGGAAATGTTTTTTTAACACGACAGTGAGCTTTTGCGTTATATAGGAAGGGTTATCTGATAGCCCTGATGTTAGGAATGCGTCGCGTTTCACCTAAATTTTGTCATTCCGCAGGGACAGCTTTACCTTTACATGTTTACCAAAACAAGCACGTGGACCTAGTAAGCGGCAGGTTGCAGGACCTTAAAAACAAGGAAAATATTGAAAGAAATCGAAATGAACATCTTAAGAAAAGTAACGGGTAAAAATATTGCAAATTATCAGGCACTACTAAGTATATTTATCGCATTGGAACTGGAAAGAACAATTAACCAGAATTGTAGTATTAACACGTGCCATGAATAGCGATAGAATATCAAGGGGCTCATTTATGAAAAAAACGAGAAACCATATGAATGATTAAGAGATTCTCACTCTGAAAAGTGCAGGATATTGGACAAACAAGATGATTTCACTGCTGCTTCGTATTCAGGGTTTTATTTTCGGCCCGAGTATCATCTACTCTGACCAAGATTTTTCGTGGTTTTCCTCAGTTTCTTCAGATCACTGCCGCCTTTTTCCACATTCTTTTCAATTCATTATTCATTGGTCTACATATCATCTCATCACTCAACACTATAGTTGAGCTACTGACAGCGTCGTTAAATAAGTCACAAAGCACAAATACGAGAAAGAGAGAGAGAGCAGCAAAGAATATTTAAATGTCTAAGTAACACTAAAGGCAATGTGAAACGGATCGGATTGTGTACGCTCATAGGGATAGGTAGTTAATGAACGAGTCGTTCAAATTGAACGGCTCACTCCTGAGAGCTTCGAACGAACCGAAAGTGGGTGCGTCGTTCACCTTGCAGCACACATCTCTCTCACAACAGACAAGTCACAAACGAATACAAACAGCAAAAAGAGTCAATTACGAGTGAGTTATTACAAAAATTAAATTTTTACTTTCGTATTGAATAAAATACACAAAACTTCTGTCAAACACAACCAACCAACAGACGATTTGCTTCATGAGGTTCAAGGCCAGGTGCACATGTGATACAGGCGACTTCACGTGCCGACGCAAGATTCCTGTATGAGAAGTTAACATTGGTTCCTGAGCATAAACCAAGCCTGCATTGCCCTGATGATGAAGGCAGTGAGCACGTCTGAAACGTCGGTTAATTTCTATCCTCTGTGCCCGTCTGTTAATAACTACTAATATTTACTGAATAACTGATAGTATCTAATCCCAACGGACGGGTCGGGAGAAGCCTTCGGTGATTTGCGCCAGTCGGTCGAATCGATCTGAATGAGAATCGAGAAAAACGAGCTGTCGCTCATGCGAGTCATAAGACTCGTGATCGAAATTAATTCTTTCAATGACTGTTATACTTGAAAGAACATGAGTGAGAGCTAATTAGCGACAGCGAACTGATCGAATCTGTCACTATGATCTCATTTGCCTTGTATCTGTTTTTAACATGAATAGCTACTGTATTAAATGAATCAGAAGGCCAAATGTTACAAGGAAGGAATAAATTATTTAGTTATTGCCATGAAGTAAAAGAACTTCTTAGAATGAAACGAGTTGACGTGACTGTGGTATATTCCTGGAATCTGTCATTACAAGACAAGGAAAGAGACGTTTTCCTTAACGGAGGTGTAATCCGTGCCGGAAAACATACATGCTTTAATTTGGAAATTCTAAAGTTTGAATGCTTTAAACTGAAATACACTCCCTCCCAGTCATCCATATACTACGCAAGAGTTACTATCAGTATTATCCACAAGATCGAAGTAGCACACTGCAGGCAATACTAAAACCGAAGCATGTCACTAAAACATAAGATTTATTCATTGGATCTTATATATTTATCATCCAATTAATCTTGTTAACAAAGAAACTAATGGATAGCAATCTTAAGCGTTGCTTGCTCCTTCACTCTACAGTTCTTGAAGACTCTTTGGAAGGAGGATCTGCGTGACGCAAGGCCTGTATCTACGTAGGCCAACATGAAAAGGAAAGACATGGACACGCATCCATTGGAGTGGGATTCGAACCCGAAATCCCAATATTCGGGCGATCAAGGCCTATGGCCCAGACAGCGCGGTTACTGTAACTGGCAAATTGAACTTTCCGCAATTTTCACAGAAATTCGTAAACGTAAGACTTATACGGTGTTTTATTTTTTCTCTACTGATTCAACTCATAAACTATTGAGAGAACAGGATACATTCAGAGAGTCTCAATTCTGTATTTAAAAAATCAATAAATGCCATTTACAGCCTACGCTAAATATATAAATGTTTCTTGGCATATTAGTTTGTCAGTTATCTTATTTAATTTCCAAATGTACAAATCGTGTGGTCTTCATATATTTTGCAAGTAATATAATCAAAACAAACTGCTCAGAAAGCACGATAGCTTTGTGGTAGCATATTGGATGGTATGCATAGAATTTTGGGATAAAATCCCGGCCAATTCAAATCATTATTTTTTATTAATGCAACCGCAGTGCTATTTTTTACGTTATATAAAGAATTGCTTTCCCAAAGTTTTGTACTTTCCGAAAATTCATAACTATACATCATTGTATGAACTACTGCAAGTGGCGCTAATGTCAATTCCACCTCAAGACTTTGTTCGTCCGCCTTTCGGTATTGCCGATTGTCTGAAATTGAAAAGTACTGTTTCAATTTCATCCAGAACCTTCCAGGAGTCTTATTCTGAATCATACGAGAACCAGACACGATCAGCCCTACACGCGTTCATTTCATGCACATCGTGTAAGGAGGCATATTAATGAGGAAGATTCAAGGTGGTTTGCTCTAAATTTAGTCTGTTGCGTAAGGACTAGCTGTTCTTTCCATTGTGAAGTGTTGAACGTCATACTCTGTTATGTGATGAGGCCGGACAAGTTTGTTTCACAATGAATGCGGTCGGTGTAACGCAATAATGTGTCGTAGAAACTTTTATAATGCTTAAATTCTTCTAATAAGATCCTGTCTGAAGTTGAAGTGTTCAACCGAACTCAAAATCTGTTTATCAAAGAAAATCATTGTTATGAAAAACAAAACAGCAACAATATAATTTCGATATATGTGTACGACTCGCTGTTCATATTTGCTACTGTAATGACTTTTTATAGACAGCTTCAAGCGATGGTGAATTGTAAAGGTGAGAAACGAAGTGATCATTGAATAGTTCATCGCCCTGATGACGGAGGCAGTATGACCTCTGAAACGTTGGTAAACATCGACCAGACTACACAGCGCAACAACCCAGAAGACAGAAATCTTCATACTAAGAATCGCCCCGATGACGGAGGCAGTATGACCTCTGAAACGTTGGTAAACATC